TAATATATACATTATTGTATGGCCGCAATTCGTACGTACCTTTCATAAATCCGGGCCGCWACTCGKACGTACCTCTCATAAACCCGGGCCGCAACTCGTACGTTATTTAGGGTTTGGGCCGCAACTCACCAACACTGGATTATGTACACCCTAAACGTGGATACATTTTTGGAAAAAGGTTTCTATTGTTCGTAAATTGTGCGCAAATGAGTTGTAGCCGACTCGTTCAGAGAGAAACCTGTTCGATTACAATGCAATACAGTGACAATATTGTTAGACGACATTATCGTGCCTACCTTGGGGCTCAACTTCGTATTAATATTAAAATTATTATAATAGACAATAGTTATAAGACGATTAAATGGACTCTGTTGCGTCACAATTGCACAATATCACATACATTAAGCCCGAGCACATCCTGTAAAATACACACTGTGCACTAATTTCTCTGATTTTGTTTTTGGTATATTATTTTTCGATCCCTGCCCCAGTAACAACGGATTGCATTAGTTTTAAATCTCGAGAAGAAGATGACGTGTACCTATAAAAATACTAGTATAGGTACTACAAAAAAGTGTGTATATTATGTAATTTTATTTTACTGTCTTTGAATTGGCAAAATAACACAACATTGTATATTGTCACACTACAATGTTTTATTGCTTTTAGCAATAAAATATTTTTGAATCAATTAGATGTGCTCTATGGTCATTGCTTAATTTGCAACAGAGCCACATAGGTGACTTTAACTTAACAATAAAATTAGGAATTAACACATCATAATGTGTGATCTTAGGTAATTTTTACAACACAGTTTTAAACAAATATAATATAATAATAATATTATATAATAATAGATGGTTAAAATAATATTAATGTAATATTTATACATAGAAAATAAAATAAAAACACACATTTATAGTGTAAAAATTAAAATTAGTCATCACATAATTCCGTTCAAAGCTTTTGGTGAGCTTGAGTTTAGTTCCTGCATAGGCACTATTGGTGGCCGCTTATAACTTGACTCATCATTGTCGTGTATCAATGGGGACTGCGAGGAATACTGCCTGCTTTTTCCATTAACACCATTTGTATATTTGATTTCATGTCTAAAAATAATAAAATTAAAGTTAAGTAACCTGAATTAAGTTTTTCTGAAATGTAAAATGCAATATATTAACCTATCTGGATGCAAAGGTTGTTCTTTGCCATTTGTTTGAACAAGAGTTATGACTTTTAACAACTTGGTGACTGTATTATCCAAATCAATCACTTGGTCTAAGAGATCAGCATCGGGTGCTCGAAAGTCCTCCAAAAATTCAAAGTCAAAGTTTCCAGTACTAGTATTGTTCATACTCAACTCTAATTGTTGTCTGGCAACTATGGCCTCCGATAGATTATTCAAGGATTCACTTTCGGCTGATTGTAAATCACTACAATCTAAAATCAAAGAAAGATGTGCAATAGATAAATCAAACATTATTTTAATACAGACCTGTTAATAATGTAAATACTAAAAATACTTTTATAATAATTTATTTTATAAAATATTAAGTAAAATAAATACCGTCTAAGGAATCAGTTTGTGATAATAAGTCGCCAGTTGATCCATTTCGTTTACAAATAGGAGAATGATAATATGGTCTTTGTAATTCTTTCATAGATTCTGATGTTTGTAGTCGTTTCTTAGGAGAACATGGAGATTCTTGGGTGTTTGCGCTGACTGAAAAATAAGTTTATAAATTAGGTATGAAAAAATAAAGAATATATTATATAATATTTACCTGCCAGGTTTTTATCGGTTTTCCCTTTATGCCAGTTAGTAGGAGCTGATTTAATAGCAGAAACAATGGCAGACATAAGGCTTTTGGAGTCGGACTTATTGGATGTACCATTAATTTGTTCAGAATCACTGCTGCTATCTCCATTTGTGTATGCTTCGTTGAAGTATACTTCATCCTTTGAATAAGAATGATCAAGTAGAAAATAATTATTAAAATGACAAATAGCATACAATACTGATAAATGTAATAAGTGCACTGTACATACTTCGATATCAACTTCTGAAATGGAATAGGATTTGATGAGTCTATCCAACAGAGCATCGAGACGGCTGCCTAATCCAGACAGACCCACAACAGCACTTGACACAGTTGAATCTTGTTGTTGTAATAATTCACGACTTTTGTTTTCCATCACACGCATTTTTGTTTGTAGTGATAAATTCTCTTGCCTCCGTTGTTCAGATATCCTTACTAAATGCGTGCATTGCTCCATAGTTTTGGAAGCCTCTTTTCCCTTTACAGCTAATTGTTCTTTGTAATCTTTGACCTGAAAGTCAGCCATAAGGTATTATAATTAAAAACGATTACATTAAACCAATTAAAATAATAAAATGTTACATTGACATGTTAACATTAGGTATAATACAACAAAATATCAGAAATAACATACTTCTTTTTCTAGTTCTTTGATTGTGTCTGAAAGCATAGCCTTCTCAGCTTGCAAAAAGTCTTGAATTTCTGAGGATTCCATCTCAGAGGCTTGATTTGCTTGTAGAAGTGACTTTTGAGCGGCATAGCTTTTTTCTAAATCCTATAATAGAAGTAAACGCCAAAATTAATATATATTATAATATATATGTATGGTGACCGTTGTAATATTTATTGTAACTCACTCTATGTAAAGAAGTGCAAAGAGTCTTAAGGTGGTTGAGTTCTTTTTGCTGTTCATTGATCACCGATGTTGTGGTAGTCATTTGATTCTCCAATATTTCTAAGATATTTGATGGTGATGGATCCAAGCAATCTGTAAAAATACATAAAAGCTTAACATTTGATTTTTAAATCGTAAGAAATGTAAAAATATTACTATTAATTTGAAAAATGTTGCATAGTCGTTGACTATAAGCATCGATTTGTCTACATGTGTCCAAATCTTCATGATTCAGCCGTTCTTGTAAATTTTTAAGGCACTCTTGTTGTTCATTGAATTTTTTTGTTTTACAGTCTAATTGTTCAGTCTTTTCCTTTAGCTCAGTCTCAAGTGCATTGATCCTTTTCTCCACTAAATCAACCTAGACAGTGACGACCACGTAAAATCAATTAATTAGAAAATTCTTACAGTGAAAGATATAATTAAGAACGAATTTGCACGAGAATAATAATCAGAAATAAAGACAAGAGTAACCAACCTGTACTTCGGCGTCATTAGTTTCAACCCTGTTTTCGACCGGAGGCAATATACTGCCCGATAAAACTTTGGTGATATCTTCGCTRGTCAGGCATGTCTGTGAACACACCTCGTGATATATCTTCGTCCTGGCGACAATCGGTGGCGGCCTACTGCATTTCGGAAGAGTTGGTTTCGCCGGCGACGTGGAACCAGAAATAGTACCGCTACCACCACTTCCAACACCGTTGAGGTGGGCCAGGGCACCCTGTTCGATGTGCTTTCTCCTAAGACTAGCCGCCCGGTTCAAACTGGGTTCCCTTGGCGCCGAWGTGGCGACCGTGTTACYAGMCGGCGTCACAGAGCTGACRGCGAGATTTTCCTTGGACTTCCTCCTTCGTCTGGGTAAMGTGGCGAACTTGTCCAGCGATTTGACCATGTCGTACGTGCTGACTAACTTCTTGACCGTCGACACCTTGGACTGTTTGGCTACCGCATTTAGGTCGGTCTTCTTCGGCGACTCCACCCTGGGAGGGCTGTTCCTGGCCGTCTCGAAGTGGAACGACGACGACATGCTTGCCGGTAGCTTGCACGGCTGCCGGTCGGCGGACCTGCGCCAAGTCGGCGTGGACGGCCTGCTGCAGCTTATGGCGGTCGGGTAACAGGGCAACGAGGACGGGCCACCGGTTTCGGTCGGACTGAACGGGCCCAGCGGGCTCTTGCACGGGTCGTAACAGCCCGACGCCAGACTCGAGTCACATGACACGGCCGGCGTCACGTCCACGCCGCTGTCGCTACCGCAACCTCCTCCCGCTGTTTCCTCGACGTTCAGGTTCAACGGTACTTTGGCGGGTAAATCATCGTCCGCGACGGCGGCGGRGGCAGCGATCTCGCCGTCCATGATTGGAATCGGAAATTCTAAATACGCAAAATATAAAAATAATAATAATGTATTATTAATATTGTTTATAATTATTATGTTTATTATTACAGAGCCATATACGACGCGCCATCGTAAATCACTATTATAGTTAATCTTAATAATATTATTATATTCGAGCGGGGAAGACGCGAACGACCATCATCCCGGACGACGTTTCCGGCACGCGTCCGGCACGCGTCGCAGTATTATCCTACTATTGCCTTAAAATATTATTACACTATGATGCAGAAAACTCGTTCAGTATACTGTATTACTATGTTCGTGTGTGTGTGTATACGTTTATTGTGTCGAACAGCTGACGAGTATAGGTAGCGATGGCGGAGAGGGGCAATATCACCGCCGCAACCGCCACCCTGTTGAATAGGGGAGTTGCCACGGCAACTCGTCTTCGTGCCCTTGGGCATTGCTCGCGACAACGTGATATTTCACGTTCGTATATAGTCACGCGGTGGCTAGACCATAATATACATGTATAAACAATGTGTTTAGGGTGTACGTGGATGTAAGTATACGTCGTAGGGGTGTACTGATGTGCGGCGTTCCACCATGACTGCGCGACGAGTTTGGCGGGAAATCCGTATACACCCCTCGGGGGAGGGTGGTACAGGCCACTAGCTGTTGATGCTGCTGCTGCAGATCCCCGACGGCGAGTTTTACGCGTATTTTTACTGCGGCGATACAAAATATTGTCGCGAAAAATCTCCGTGTGCCTTGGACATTAATATAATATACATATTATAACACGCGTCCCCCGAGCTACTTTCATCACGCTAGTGTACGTTTTGTATTTTGTACGTCATTTTGTTTTCAATTTCAACGCGTCCCGGAAAACGACGCGGGTCGTCGTATACCGTGTGTCCGCGGAAACAGGGTACACTTTACCACTTATTACCCTGTACATATTTTTCAATTCTGTTTTCAGGACATTAAATTAGACTATTAGATCTTTAATTTCGTTGACTTACAATTTTTTTTACTCGCGGATTTTACGCATGCGCAACACAACTTTACTTTTTTTAAATGGCAACCCCTATTTTGAATATCATTTTCRGATTAATGGATTTTTTTAAAGTAATTTTGATCTAACAACTACTATTCTCAATCCAATATTGACCGAATGAGCGTTTTAAATAAGGGAGGGACTTTCGAACAATTTATCGAGTAACTTATGTTGGTGATTTTTGTAAATTGAATTGTAAATAAAAAATGTGTAGTAGAGTTTAAAATAATAAAATTAAAATTAAAAAATAAATGTTAACAAAATAATTTTTTAAATGTTTTTTTTTTTAATTTTAAATCGCTATCATTCGGTCAATATTGGATTGAGAGTACCTAGTAGTTGTTAGATCAAAATTAATTTAAAAAAATCCATTAATCCGAAAATGATATTCAAAATAGGGGTTGCCATTTAAAAAAAGTAAAGTTGTGTGGCGCATGCGTAAAATACGCGAGTAAAAAAAATTGTAAGTCATCGAAATTAAAGATCCAATAGTCTAATTTAATGTCCCCAAAAACAGAATTGAAAAATATGTACAGGGTAATTAGTGGTAAAGTGTACCCTGTTTCTGCGGACACACGGTATATTATCGAATAAATTTCATCATTATTATACTCTAATGGCATGCCGGCAAGAGGTTGTCTGATGCTGCCGCTGGTCCAGAAACTCGTCCATTATCATTGTTGTTGTTTATTAAATGGCGCAGGTACTCGCGTTTATTCGCGAACGGGCCGATTGTTTTAATCGTCTAAAGGAAAGAGAGAGTTCAACGATTGTTATACAAACTCTATAAAAGGTTTGAAAAACACATCTACCTCTGTTTTACGAGGTCRAATCGGATGCAATGTAAAACCGATTTAAATAAATTAATTGAGTTTTTAAAATAAAATAGTAGTTTTGCTTTACGAGATATATTTTAATATTATTATGCGCGAATTAAATGTCTTTAGTTTTGTACACTAGAAAAAATGATTTTAACAAAAATTTAAAAAATATAAAGGCCGATAACCAGTAAAAATAATATTAATATATATATAATTTTCGAATGCCGTAACGTATACGATATTTGAAAGCTTTTGTCTATAATTTACTGACTATGATCTGAATTTATTTAGAGAAAAGTTATAAAAAAAATGTATTTGACTCAATTCTTAGAGTTGCGTACATAAAACAACAATTTAACTCATGGTTATTTTCACTATCAGCTTAAAAACGAATCAACTTATAAATTAAAATATGAAATGTGTATGGAATGCATCACAAGCATTGCGATTAAAGGAGGTGGATATTTAACTGTTAACATTTTAATAAAATGTAAATCATCTGTAATATTTTACAATAAAATGAGTTAAAAAAAAAAAAAAAAACAAATACAACTGCAGCGTTTCACTGGAACTTGGCTAAAAATTTCAGAGATTTTGGCAATTAATTCGTCATACAATAACCGAATTCGAAAATAAAATAACGTTATGAAGTAGTTGGTACAGAAACAGGTAGGCCATAGGAAGGTTAGGTCATTAGAATCTACATGCACACAACAGTGTATATAATATACAATAACAATAAAATAAACTTTGGCTCAGAATGTGATTCTGCACGTGGAGAAATGTTATATACAATAGTGAAATGTGAGGCGCCTGTCGTTGCATATATAGTATGATATGTTATATCGGTTAAAACCAYATATTATTATTATTATTGTTATTATACATTTATACCGAGGACCGAGGTTTATACCACATATACTTAACCTACACGCTGTATTGGAAACAGCACGAATGCGTTGCGCTTTTGTTTTATGCAATACAAGCCTACACATTTTTTTTTTTCAATGCAATATAAAAATGGAACATCGACGCACGCTACGACACACACGTTTGTCGTACTCGTAGTATTTCATTATTTTTCTGACTTCTATATATAAATCACATAACGCGACCTATGGGCAATAAAAACTCGATATATCGGTTTCCTTCTGTAGCACATATGATATTATAAAGCAACGGCGCGCGGCGTTGGTAAGAGAAACTAGGTGGTATAATTTACTGCGCATAGGTACAGAGTGATTTACAATTTCCAGTATATGACATGGGCCTATATGAGCGGAATTAATTTTGATTTTTTTTTTTTGACGTGAGAAAAGAACGTATCCGCAACCACATGGCCGTTATACTGACGGTGTCACAATATTGATGTTTAAATAGCCGATAAATCGCAAAATCGCTATAGTATATTAATCGCAAACTGTAAATACGCCGCATAATATACTATGATATAATACACAAGCAGCGTGATTTATCACGTCGTGCTCAATACATAGTATAGGTAGGTGCACTGCGTAAAAGTTGAACATCGTTGGCCGTATTGTACTATGTGATTGCTGCACACCCCCAAACTCACCGCGATGACGATAAAAATATAAAGAAACGCGTTGTTTATATATTACTCTATTTTCCGGCATCATCCGAAAACGGGTCTCGACGAAACGCTTGCATGTATACAGCTGGTGTATATAATATACATTTATCATAAATTTACTTACATATTCGCGGCACGGGTCACACGGTATATTATATAAATAAATTTGGCACGTGAATATCCAATCTCTGCCAATACAACGGAATTGATATATTATATTATGTCTCTGCAGCAGGCAGGAGTCGCGTGTCCGATACTAATCTCGACGCTGCGGTGGCGGAGGTGATGGTCCAGATGACCGCGCATGCGTCATTGTTACAATAGTATAATATTATTACGATTGTTTTGTTTCCGGTACAAATTTAAAAAAAAAACGTTTGAGCCAAACCAGAGGACAAAGACGGAGTAATTTTGGTTATTTTCACGCGAAGTAAAAGCCAAAAGTTACCCACATCATATTATATGCATATATATATATATATATAATGGAAGCTAAGTAAATGAATACGAAATAATATAATAGCAAGATGCTTTGGGGGGTACGTGTGCTACATCCGGCTACATCAGAGTTTCTCTCTTATTCTTGAGTCAATAAATTATAATATATTATACACCAGCTAGTGGCAACAACCAGACATTTTACATGGGGGGAAGCCCGGAAGGGGGTCCGACAAAATAAAACATGCTGATATACCTACCTACTACAATAACCCCAACAATAACATTTAAAATATGCTCAAAAATAAACTAAAAATATTGTGTTAACTATTAAATTGGTATACATAAAATAAAAATGCGCACAATATACGATTTATATAAAAATACAACCGTGATAGTTGATAGACGATAAGCATTAGACAAAAATCAAACATTTTCGTTGAACGAATAATAAAAAAAAAACCTAAAATAAATTGACGTACTCGTAATACGGAATTTTAGAAATAATCTAAATGAAATGATATAAATAATTTCGAAATATTGAAATAGGTATGTACCTACTTATCTTTAAAATCTCCAAAATATGCAAAACTATGCAGAAATTTGCAAAATAAAAATAGCATATTTTAAATCTCCAATAAGTGAAATGGATTTCTATCTCACTTGGCTATATTTTGGGCTCACCAGAACATGCAAAATATTACAACCTCCTAACCTTGACTAAAACTTATTATACGAGTTTTGGTAKGAATCGTAAATATGGGTATATAGTGGTATATTGCAATATAAATAATGCACGCCCAAGTGCGACTGCAATACTGTGATATTATATTCATGTATAAACTGCATTATATATGGTTTACACCCTCTTTGAAAAAAATGTAGATCTATAAATTGTAGAGGGCGAGAGGCGAGAATATCTGTCAATGTATGTGGCTCAAACTACAAGGATAATAATATAAAGGCCTACAAGATATCATAGAATCACGTCATTGTACTTATTGGAGTATCGTGCAGGTATCATATCTTCGGTATGATGTGTATTAAACGTCATAAAAACACCTCGTGTACAAACACTAGAAGTGACCACACAAACACACATTGATCATCATCACCACTACT